CTCAAACACGGTGTCATAGAAATGACACTTAAACCCCGGTAAGACTGTCATATAAGTGTCAGTTATATGACGTTTGAAAATAAAATAAATTTATTCGTACATATAAATATTACAATTTTTGTACACGTCATATTAAGAGATTATAATCGATTACAGGGCATCAAATAGAAATTCGTCAAATGTGTAGTAGGCTTTAGATAATAATACAGCCTTTAACCTATTCTTAAAAACATGGATATCTAAACTTTTAAAATAATTAGGATAGGATAACTGGATAATCTACAAACGTATTTAAAAAAAACATTGGGTAATGGATATAAAATAACCTTGAAATATTCATTCCCGTAAATATAAAAGATTAACATTGCAATAGAACAATTGCGTGTTCATAAATATATAAAGAGATGTGTCCTTAAAACTGTATAAAATCCGCGCTACTTTCAATATTAAGGTACATTTGATTTAAATATTTATCGAAACATGCAACATAATAAAAAATGACTATAGTAATAAAAAAAGTAAAGTGCACGACACAGCATTAACTATTATTACCCTATCAAATCCAATAAATTGACATGTTGCCTATAAAGTGCGCATTGTGCTTGAATAATTTATTACTAAATACACACTATTACATACCATCGACAATTAGGGTAATGACTTTGTGACACAATTTTCTCGAGTTTACAACACTTTTTGACCATTTTCTCTAACAAACATTATAAATAAAATTGAATGAGAATCACAGCATACGTAGTAACCGCTGCGATTAACTGTAAGAAAAAATGTATCTTAAGGAAGTCTGCTAAATGGTTACTCACCATGTGACAAAATGGCCAGTTTAAACTGAAAAGACCCATCACAGAAAATTCAAGTCTAGTATTGAGAAACTGAGCTGAAATTAACTGAAAGTGCCGATTTTTTTTATGGGGTGTATTTTCGGAAGAAATGTGGTTCCAAATATTGTGAATAGAAGTCACAGTTTTGTTTGCCTACAAAATTTCACATTACGTTTTTCAATTTTTTTTTTTCACTTACCTCAGTTTGAGTGTTGGTAAAACTGTTCACTAGAACAAAAAGCCAAGAAAAAGAGAACAACAGAAATGATGCATTGGCTCCATTAATGAGTAAAAGTTGATCTAAATTATTCCCTTTCGAAAAAACTAAAAAATATACAGTTTCAACGACGTTTGCGAACCATACAATCAAAGACAGGATTATGCTGATTGCAAAAATATTGCTCACAGAAGAAGTCGTGTGTATCAAACAGACGTGAGTGTGGCAAGCGTCGTAAACCCGTTGTATACTGAGATCTTTTGCAGTTTTATTAGGAAGTCGACCCAAACAGTTGAAATAGTTTTCAAAATCTTGATTGATTAACTTAAATGTCTGACTAGCATAAGTTAAGAGATCACTCAAAAATAAAACGTCTGTGGAGTATATCAGGCGTGACAGACAAACATAGATTAAAAAGAACTTATCATCTACCACGAAAAGACTAACAAAGAAATTCACAAGAAATGTTCCAAATAGAAGAATGTCACACGATGTAGAAACTTCTGATTTTTGATCAAAGGAAGCTGAAGAAAGGAAAGTGTACTGCAATTTTAAATAATACACATTTTTTGCATAACGTTGAATTTGCTTATTCCTTGCAAAAAATATAATTAAACACGTTACTGTGTATGCGATATTTTTCCAATTATTTAATGAATTGACGTACAGATGAATACCTGATAATTTTTCTGAAGAAAGGTTGTAATGTAGGCTAACACAGACAAAACTGCCATAAAAAGGCAAACACCACATCAGAGTTTTCGGAAAAAAACTTGAAAGTTGTAGCACAGCACTTAATTTGTAAATGTATTTCCTGTAGGCTGGTATTGTTTGTAGGAACATGGTTGTAACTGCGAGCACTGAGTTGATACATATTTCATAAAATGAATTCTAAATTACAGGCTTATTGATTAAAAAAAATGTTTCAAATGTTATTTAAGTGAACTGCATATTAATTAATATAGTTTTTCTCTTATATAACAATGTATTGTGCTACTGTGCCATCATTTTCAAATTGGTATTGGTTATTGTCACACGTATGATAAAGATAACAAACTTTAAAATAAAATGACTTTTCGATCGCCCTAAACTTGAACTAACAAACCGCATCATTGTCATAATCAACTTTAATGGCCACTAGTGGCAGCCAGATAAGTGGCTGCAGTTTCGATTCAAATACAAGGGGTCGTAAAAAAGAATAAAACCTAATATCCTAATAATTAAATTGTATAAAATAACATAGTCTCACACATGTAGATTAGGACACCGTGTTGAGTTTTTACCCGAAACATCCAGATTTTTGAAAAAAAAAATCAAAATTATAAAACAACATTTATCATGATTTATCATTTCATTCATATTTTTTAGATTTGTTTATACAGGGTGACTCAAACAAATTGATGATCAATGAATCAGTCAATTTATTTTATTGAATACATCAAGAATTGCAAAATTAATGCTTTGACACTAAATTTTATCAAAAATGTGCAAAATATGATGAGTTTCTACTTGTGATTTATCATTGCATTCATATTTTTATTGATTGATCAAATTAAGAACGAGTCACCCCATTTTCTCGAAAATGTGAAAATACAACCGTCTTTATTTAATAAGAATTATAACAATGATATTCGGAACATCTAGGTCGACTGTAGCTTATTACTTAATAGTTTTAATCCTCTGCTTTGAGGAGACGAACTCATTCAAATCAAACTAATTTCTACGTGGCATTCTTCCATTGTATAAACATAAACACTTTCAGGTTGTTTTTCTTATCGAGCATAAGCTAAGGACGTAGGAGTGTATGGGGCAATTTGGTACTTTCATATTTTCTCGATATTTCATAACTCCTAGATAAGACCGTAGCTAAGGAGAGGCCAAGGGATAATGAGGCTCCCCTAGATTTAGGCAAGTTATAATTAACCCAGTGTGAAGTACAACATCGAAAATCAAAATAAAATGTTGTGTTTTATGTAATAAGCGGAAGTCATAGCAATAAAAAGTCTGGACCGTCCGCATTGTGATCCGGTTATTGCAATTCGTAGAAAACATCTTTTAATTTAGTTTCTCTGTTTCACTCTCACGTCTGCAGGTTGATAAGCATTATCGCTATTTGTCTTAAATTACGAGTACCATAAATGATTTTCTGTTCAGTCTTCAGTCGCGCCTCTATTATTGCATACGGCAGACGTGATTAAATTGTTTCGTTATTTTATTAATTATAAATCATTATTTCAAACGACTCACTGCATTTTCCCGAAAATTTGAGAATACAATACTTTTATTATTAGTATTAGAATACATCTGTTCAAACTGATATACGCGTCGTTGCAAAAATGTGGATGAAATCAACAGAATACGAGTATAAAGAAATGCTCTGAAGTTTTATGTATGTCAGAACGAGAACACTCTTGACGGTAGGTTCAGTTTTTGGTTAACATTAAAAAAAAACTCAATTCTAATTGTTCAAATTTGATCTCAAGTTGACGTCACTGTTTACACATTGTAACCATTGCAAATAATAAAATGTGTTATTAGTTAAAATTAAACGGTAGTGGTGCAATTCTTCCTGTCCTAAATATATGAAAAGTTAAAACCACAGCAAATAACCAGAAATGGAAATAAAGCTTTTTCAACATTCCACAAGTTGTGCACACGTCAATAAAAAATTGAATGAAAAAAATTAAGTAGAAATTGGCATGTTCGTATCCCACAAAGCTTGAAACTCCAAAAAAACTTAAAATTAGACAGATAATAATCGTCAGCGTTATTGTATTACAAAATTTCATTAGGACTAAATATCACTGATACTTAAAGTTTTACTACTAAAAATTTTATGAAACCATGAGTTTATTAAGTTTTAGAAAATTCTATAATAGACCTTAGACATCAGAAAAAAGGCCTTAATAAAATAAACAGTTTTATGTTAAGAATTCCTAAGTAAACTTCTGTTAAAAGAAAATATGTTATAAAAAATGTAGCATTCCGAACTTAATAGTAGACTTTGAACTAATATTATCCGTTTCTTAAATCTGTTTAACCGTATAACCTACCTCTAAAGAGGTTAGGGCAAAGTAATTCTAAAATTGGTATCAACGTTCTAGATGCCGCTTTATGAAGGTTACGCTGTCGCTGTATGCTAGCCTCTATTAGATAGTATAGAAATTATTTTTGCTGTAAGTAGAGAATATTTTGTGGCAGTTAAGCCATGGTTGATACTAGAAGAAACGACTAAATTCGTTTGTGTAAAAGTCAAATACTAAGTTATCTAAGATCATTATTAAACCACACAAAAAGAAATCAGCTCAGGTTGATTATATCTCGAATAATATTTTCATGAAAATTTCTATGTCACAGTCGAGTGGTTTTTGTTTCAAGAAACCACATTTCAGGCCAACAACCGACTAAGTAATGAAATTAAGAAAAACGAAAACTATCCTACTGCAAAATAATAAATTAAGCCAACCATACCTGCCATCGCCTGAAAATAACACAATTTTCATACTTAATAGTGACTTATATCTTGTAACAAACAATAAACTTGTTATAGTGATCAGAAATCAATAGCCACTCACAGCCTGCCCACACAGAAACTCTACAACCCCCTAAAACTAAAAAATCGTCTACATCCAAGTTGAATGCACTTGTATCCAAAATAATGATTTCACATTGTCATAGCAACTGTCGGCGAGTCACGACAATAAACTGTTGTTGCGATGCCTTATCGTTTACATAAAACATACCCCTTAGCAGTTTTAGTTCATTTTCTTATTCATGACTAAATTTCGACAACATCAATATGCTCGAAAAGCCGAACCTACAATCCGTTTCGTCGTACCGTGAATTATTAACTGTAACATTTTCGACAGGATCAAGGTAAACACCACGAGAAAAGCTATACAGTGTGGGTGTCTTCCCTTAATAATTAAGCAATTTCGTTTCAGTCGGCCACTCTACTGACCCGAGATCGCACCGGAAAAACACCTCTACATTACTGCTGCACGAGTGACAACATCTGTGCTGCTCAAGCTGCTGATATTTTGGTGATGGCAGCGCCGGACTTGGTGGAAAGCCGAGATGAAGACGGATTCACGCCGCTGCATCTGGCTGTCATTGCAGGGAATATGCCTTTGGTGACGTTTTTGTTAGCGAATAAGGCTGATGTGAATGCTGTGGATAATGAGAAGCATACTGTTGTACACTGGGCAACAGGTAAGCAATGTTAGATTTTTATATTTTTAACAGTTCGTCTTCATTACTGTACAAATAATTATGGATGGCATGGCGTAATATACAAGCTTACAGCCTTTATTAAAGTATTATTATTTAAAAGAATGAACTACAAAGATAGACACATTAAGTTAATTTGTACCCCCACTGGGAATCTTATTAAGCCTGTAAGGCAAATAATAAATTAATACTACTACAAAAATAGACACAAACCATTTAAAAAGAGGACATTAAAAATGTTACAGGTTTTTATTTTTCAGAAGGTTGCCATAAATATTGCTGAAATGCAAAAAAAAAAAGAAATATTTCAAACTACGTTAACGCACACAGCTTATTCATTGCGTTAAAACTGCAAAATGTCAATTATTTCCGTAAGTGCCACTTAAACTTCAATTAAAACTGTACAAAATTTAGATGGGTATTATTTTACCATACATATTTTGTAGTAAAAAAAGTAGTTCTTATTTACTGAGAATTCTAACAAAGCCATTTTGTTATGTCTAGTTTCACGTGTTCTCGACGTCCAATAATAATTGTAGAATGCGACGATGGGTTTCTCATTTCCGTCTGCGTATTTCTGGTCTGCGCATTATAAAGTAAATAATACTGTTATACGATTTGATTATCTGAATCTATCTTTAAGTAAAAGTTGATCTAAAAAACAAATATAGCTGGGCGTAAAAAATTACAAATTTGTTACAAGGGATATCTTAGGAAAATATGTATATAGATACTTATACAAAATTATTGTGGCTTATATCAGAAATAGTGCTTCTACTGTACATAAAATTTTGACAAAATAGTAGCAGAATATTATGATTATTGTTTACTTTACAATCTTAACACACATATATATAATCTGTTACCCTCTTTTACCCATTGGGTGTCGAGGGGGGGGGGGGATGCACCGAGCCGCTCAGATAGGTATGGCGATCTTGGCCACCCATCCACAAAGTGACTGCTCCCGTAGTAGCAGAATATTATGATTATTGTTTACTTTACAATATTAACACATATAAAACTATATATTGTAGGGGTTGTTATCGACTGGAAAATTTGAAGATTAAAATTTCGTTATTTGGAAAAGCAGTCGAGATGATATAAACATGATGTACATTCACCGAAAGGTTGATGACGTCATTGTTAAAAACTGAAATAAACCTTTATGTTTTTCAGTAACATTTTGCGTGCGGCGATCACACGTCGATGCCAAACTTGGTCGTTTCTTTTTTTTTCTCTGTTTAATACGTCATACAAAATTTTTTATTGATCAAATTAAGAACGAATCATCCCATTTTCTCGAAAATATGGGAATACACATTTCTTATTTAATAATACTAATAACATTTAGAACGTTGTGTTCGATTGTGGCTTAATTGATAATTTTAGTCTACCGTTTTGAGGAGACAAACTCATTCAAATCAAACAAATATTTACGTAACATTCTGCCGATTTATAAACATAAACGCTTAAAGTTGAAGCTTATTATTATTGCTGAGAGGCCATTTTTTTCTCGTTGGTTATCTGCTTTAAATATATTTCACATTGTCCGAACTTGTGCACATCGCAGGGGCTGCGGGGGTGTTACATATCCCGCTGGTTTTTACTTTATAGAAATTATCAACAAAATAAACATCGCAAAATCTTCTATTCTCAAAAAACTGTACAGAGCGTTTTAATTTATCGAGCTTAATAGGAATGTTGGATGTATGATTGTTATTCATACATACGTACCGAAAAAGATTGATATAAATGATACACAAACATGTGCTGTGTAACACTGTATTTACTTGTTGTTGACGGTTCGAAGTCTATGTACAAAGTTGTTAAAATCGGAAGCGATACATTGCAGGTAGAAGAGAAAGTTGGGGACGCTTGTTGACAAGGGTTGCGGTTGGTAGGTAAAACCGAAACCCGAACATGGTCCAGCGCCTTGAAAGAACTAACTTTCAACATGACAAAATATAACAATTACAAATATGAAATACATAATATGTGTCTACATGACAGGTGCATACATTGACAATGAAATAGAGTACAGAACACATAGAAAAAAAGGGGTAAATTTAGACACTGCACATTTGTTTATGTCGGAAGCACACACAGCTTAGTCACTTGCAGGTTAATCACATCATGCGCGGTTCTCACTGTCACTACGCGAATGGGGCCATGTAGACCGGGATGAACAGTAATAACGCGTCCCAGTGGTCCATATAAGCGGGAGTGTGTGGTCTTCCTTAACGACCACCAAATCGTCCACCTTATGCTGTTGTGGCTGGCCTTGGTCCATTTTGGGCGATGATGAAGTTGGCCCATATGTTCTGCTGTCCACAGTTTCCAAAATTGCTGCTGAGTGCGGCTGAATTGTTGCCACCTGGAGAGCCGGTTCGTTGAGACCGTGGTGACGTTATCCTCTGGAATAACAGTTAGAGGGGTTCCAACGGGGAAGTGACCGGGAATTAAAGGAGTCAGGTCATTTGGATCTTTGGACATGGCGGTTAACGGGTACGAATTCAAACACGTTTCGACTTGTATTTGCAACGTCTGCATTTCTTGCAAATTAAATAAAAATATACCAGTAACGCGCTTCAACTGACTTTTCGCAGATTTGACCATTGCTTCCCCGATAGTCCCCATATGTGGCGCGGAAGGCGGAATGAAATGAAAATTGATGTGGTTAGTTGTCAAATCATTCAGCAAATTTGTATTCGAAGCCCGTTTGGCTAAAGTGACACGTGCTTGGTAAAGCACGGGATCATCCCACCACAAAGTTTTTTCGTATCGTCTGTCTTCGGGTTTAAATAAAATTTGATGATACATTTTACAAATGTCCGCAGTAAAAGCGACCTCATGCGTCCTAGATCGAATTATTGAATCGGAAATGTCGTTTTGTATTTTTGGCCCTGTACTCAGACAAGCATTTATGCTTTTTCCGACTAATGGTTTGACTGACCCGTCAAACACTACGCAAATCTTTTCAGTGACCCCGTCATTTTTGGAAACCGCATGGTGAGGCAAAAAATGACGGGGTTCACTTTCGATTTTTTGCTCTGTCAATGAACCTAGTAAAAGCATGTGATCTAAATTAATGTTTTCTTTTATAAAATTATGATAGTTGATTTCTAACATAATATTTTTTGCGAACTTAAGTTCCGATGAGTACAATTGTTGAAGCGCGATTTCTTTCGAATTCCTCAAAATTGGGAAACTCTTGCTAAAGGTTAATCTGACTTGAAATCGTCCGTTCGACAATCGAGTGGCATTGTTAATAAAATAGTTCTCCTGTTGCATTTCAGGAGCTGTGAGCGACTTGTCATCGCTTGAATGGCTTTCAAGTTTGCAGAACTTTTCAACTTGCTTTTCTAAATTGACATTATTGACCACGCAATGTAGATTTTGACGAGTGTTACTGGTGGGGCATCCATGCAATGGCCCCCCTGCAATCCAACCCAATAAAGTTTTCTGTAATATTAGGCCACGTCCTATTGTTTGAATTTGACCTACACATAACAGTTGCCAAAATAATCCAGCTCCGATTAACAGATCGATTGGCTGTGACAAATTGAAATTAGGATCGGCAAGTTTTACCGCTTCAGGTATGTCCAGCTCATCTTTAGAAAAGGTACGGACAGGTATGTTCCTCGAAATTTTTGGGATTACCAGACAATTTAAAGCTGTTGTAAATGAGTAATGCAACGACTCGATCTGTACCTGAACCTTTTGTCTAGCGGTCGTATTTGAACATTGAATACCTGCTACGACCACATTTGCATTTTCTGTACTTAAACCCAATTTGTTAGTGGCGGCTTCAGTAATAAAATGCGATTCTGAACCCACGTCTAACAAAGCCCGGAATTTTTGAAATTTGTTTTTACAATCCTTTATTAGAATTATTGCTGTAGACAAAACGGCTTCTGGAAAAAGGGCGGATGAGCAATAAACTCCACTGGTACTAGGCTGGTTTTCGTTTGAATGGGAGGGTTGGTCACTATGTAAAAGTGTATTATGTTTCAATTGGCATAATTTACATGACATAGATTTACAGCTATCGGACGTATGCGATGGTTTGAGACAATTTTGACATAATCTCAACCTATCTACCTGAGACCTTCTTTCCGAAACACTGAGTTTTGAAAAGGTAACACAGTTGTAAATTAAATGAAATTTTTTACAAAAATAACAAGTGGATTGTGTACTATTGCGATTTACTGCCGCTGTAAATGTAGACACCTTTTGTGTTTTAAGTGTATTATAAAAAGGTAGCCATTCAGTATAAATTCCGCTAAACGGTTTAATAACAATCGGGAGCGACTGCACCGATGGTGACGGTGTGCTCGTAGGTGCGTTACCTTGCGGTGCAGGTGAAGATGTGTTAACGCGTTTTTGTTCAATAGCATCTTCGACATCTGCACATAAATCGTAATACGCGTTTTCAAAATAAAGTCTTGTGGTAGCTTGTTCTAAATCGGGGGTGGCGTCATCAAGAGCTTCAATCTGAGAATGGATTTTGTCAAACTGAGCCTTAATACGTACAAAATCGCGCAATCTTACTCTTAGTCGAGAAGCGGATGTACTTAGATTGTTTGTTTCAAACCACAACTTGAAACGCGATATTTCGTCGTGAATGCGATTTCTTTTTAAGAATAAAATTTGTAAATTTCCTGCATCCTCTGGTGTAGGATTTGAGTCCGAAAATGTTTCGGCATTGTCGTCACCTTCCGCGCCTGCCATGTGTGGAGCATCGAAAGTTTGCGAACGCGTCATAACCATTTGAAAAACCGCTTAGTTGAAATACGTAAAACTGGTACAGTTCGGGCAAGGTAAATGGTACTTGCCAATGAAATTCAAATAAAATGACGTGCAATTACGGTCGAATGCGTGCTTGACCGGAAATAGATAAAGAAAAGGAATAGTTGGAACCCACTCACCGCAATAAGGCCCTCTGGCACCTGGGACGGCTAGACTGATTCGCTGCTCTCCTG